TCTGTTTCCCGCCCTTTGGGCAGCTGAAAAGAGGCCTTTGGTCCCGGTTGGTGCCACCAACCGGGACTAAAGGGGTGCATTGGTCCCGGTTGGTGCCATGAACCGGGACCAATGCTCTGCCTATATAAGCAGCACTCGTGAAAATTTGGTTCAGTTCGTTCTTCCCCGCCGCCAGGCTGCCCGTCCATCTCCGCCTCGTTGTCGTCGTCGTCGCCCCGCGCCGTCCCGACGCCGACCCGCGCCGCCCCGACGCCGTCGCCGCCCCCCGCCCCGCGCCCCGTGCCCCGCGACCCCGCCGGCCCCTGCCCGTCGCCGCCCCACCCCGGCCCGCGCCGCACCTCCGTCGACCGTCGCCGCGCCGCCCCGCCCCGCGCCACACCTCGCCGTCGCCGTCGCCGTCCCAGACACCGTCGCCGTGAGCAAAATTTTTGCTAATTTAATTTGATGTTAGTAGTAGTTAATTTAGATGTGTAGTATAATTTAGATGTGTAGTTAATTGAGTTAGACTTTGTTAGATTTTTTTTAGATTTTTTTGTTAGATTTTTTTGTAGTTCATAGATTTTTTTGTTAGATGTGTAGTACATACATTTTTTTGTTAGATTTTTTCATATTGTGTAATTAATTTGTTCATATTGTGTTAGATTTTTTTTCTGTTAATAGATTTTTTTTGGTGATATTATTGTTGAATATGCATGTTTGTATGTTCATATATATGCAAAGATTGAATATGTCAAATTTTTATAATTTTTTTCTGTTCATAGAATTTTTATGATTTTTTTCTGTTGTAATTTTGTTCATAGAATTTTAATGATTTTTTTGTTCATAGTATTTTCTTTGTCAATTTATGTATATGTTCATATTGTGTATGTATAGGAAAATTGTGCATGATCAATGTCATTTATGAATATGTTCATATTTAGAATAGAGGAAAAAGTAAAAAATAAGAAGAGAAAGTGTTTAATATAGTTAGTTGAAAAAATAATATAACTATAGTTAAACTAGTTTATTTTTAGTAAGTACTACTTTATTTTATTTATAGTAAGTGCTTCATATATAGTTGAACTAGCTAGTTGATTTAATAAACTACTTTATTTTACTATATATAGAAGTAGTTTGTTTTTAGTAAGTACTACTTTATTTATTTATAGTAAGTGCTTAGTAGTTGAACTTGTTGATTTAATTAATAAAACTACTTTATTTAACTATATATAGAAGTAGTACCCGCATCAACATCGATGATGCCTATCCCGCATCCTCGTCGTCGTCGACTCTGCGGTGGAGGCCTGCTTGATCAGGGCCATGTTCGGGACTGGGCTCCGACGGGCTGGTATTGGGAGGTGCTACCTTCCGGGGGACGTAGGTTGGTGAGGAGGAAGCACGTTGTTGACCCGGTCCTTATTTGGTGGCGGTCGCGTGGGCCAGTGACGGTGCCGAGGCTTCCGGACACCGCGGAGGTGGTACATCACAGTGTCAGCGAGGAGGACGAGCACGTCCGTCGCTACATGGTTGCATTGGAGGGCAGGTTCGACAATACCTGGCAGGTTCTTCAGGGATCTCACTGGAGCTATGATCCTGTGATGGTTCCTTATCTTTGGGTGTCCACCGCCCGCAACGATACCCGTCGGGCGCTACGGTTCTAGCTGTATTAGTGATGTTATATGTATGATAGTATTCGAGGAGTATTAGTGATAATATTCAACGATGTATGAACATAAGAGATGATGTAGTTTTGGTTATAATTGAATGCATGCTAATTTGAATATTACTTTATTTTACGATTTGCTTTTGTTTATTGAATGCTCATATTGGAAAAGTACTCCTACTTTGAATGCTAAAATTAAAGAGCACTCTATGCAGAAATCTAGGAGCCCCCTCCATCATCCACGCCGTCGTGGGGGTAGCTTCTCCTTCATTCCCGTGTGCTAGATAATTTGGTGTAATAATGCACTCGGGAATGAAAGGAGGAGCTACCATCACCGATAGTCAACCCGTGATTAATAATAATGATCTAATTTAGGTTTTTTATACATATATTTAATTGTACAAGTTTAATATTTGAATTATGAACGTAGGCCGGAAATGTCGTACTCGGACGACGAAAACCTCCCGGGGAAGTGCGACTGGTGCCATGACGACCGAGGTATGTGCGACAGGTTCATTGAGTTGGATGAAGATCGGCGCTTCAGCATTAAGCTCGAGGAGACCTTCGATGTTCATACGGTACGCAACGACGACAATAGTTTTTTCATAATTAAGCACGACTTCAACTATTTTAACGTGTATTTTTCATCTTTTCCAATTCGACTAGCTTATCCCATGCTATACAAGACGCTATGTCTTGGAGAGGATGGGTTTTGAAGACCATGAAAGTATGGAAACCAAAAAAATTCTCCTAAGGACCAATTATGGTGTGGATTTTAAAGTAAAGTTGTACAATGCTGAGAGTGTAACCCATTTTGGTTGCAAAAATTGAAAAGCACTTTGCAGGATGTATGGTTTTGATGAGGGTATGCTTGTCACCATGGATCTTGGTGATCCTACAATCAAGCAAGACAATATGGACATTTGGGTCCTTGTGGATACACCACCAATTTTCCCCCCATGTGAGCTTAACATAGTTATTAACTAATTTATATTATTTATTTCAAAATAGTTGATAGCTTATTTCTATTGACAACTTATTTTCATTCTTCAAAGAATGTGCGGAAGATGGTAGACAAAACCCACTACACTGATGGCTCCGAATTAACTTATAAGGAGAAAAACCATCTGATCACATTTTGTACTGATCTTGAGAATTACAATGTCTACAATCGAACTCCTCAATATTATGGTCAATATGTGCCACTAGTGCACGTGTTGAACTACGGTAACTACCATGGAGATACCCTGGTAAGATTTTTTACTATTACGACATCCGTGCATCTTTTTGCATACTTCTAAAACTAGTACATCATTGCTAACTACGAAGTTATTACTATGTTTTTCAACAGATAATCCCGAATGATTGTGTGCCTCATCTGATGTATACGCACGGTCGCCTTGATGTTTTGAACATACAACTAGGTCGTCTTACGAATCTCAACTGTCCATACCGGATTTCTAAAAGAAGTGGAGACATGACAATCAAAGAATGAAAAAAATGTATGGACAGTCGTAAGGAGCTTCTTGGAAGCAAAAGGAAGCGAAGCGCAAGAATTGAAGACAGGATGATCTCCATTCTTCATAATGGAGAGTCGGGGTCTATATTGTTTTATGCTATTTTTATCTTAAGTGTGTTTAGGTCTACCTGATACTGATGATGTGCTAAGAACAATTATGTAGGGTTGGGTTTGATGACTATGAGTATGATGATCGTATGACTTGTTATTAATAATGAGTAGAAGTTGTATGATGATGCATGATTAGTAGGACTTGTTATTATATATGATGATGTATGATGCGAGCATAAAGAGTTATTATATATCAGCGGGTGTAATGAACATAGCAGTAGCGTTGGTAAACCAAGCACGAAGATAAGAGAGGACACTTCTCTCTATTAGCTAGCTAATAACAATCTAAATTAACCCCCAAAACCCCAAAACCAGCCAATTTCAAAAAAAAAAACTCAGATGCCTTTTGGTCCCGATTTATGTCACCAACCGGGACCAAAGGCCCCCCCTGCCTGGGCTGCCCGCAGCGGCCACGTGGATGCCCATTTGTCCCGGTTCGTGTAAGAATCGGGACTAAAGAGGGAGGCATTAGTAACGACCTATTAGTCCCGGTTCAAGAACCGGGACTAAAGGCCTTTACGAACCGGGACAAATGCCATGTTTTCTACTAGTGATCCGCGCACATAGATTATTGAATGAAGCTCAATGGGCAACCTGTGTGGGACGACATATGCCGACTCTGATTATTCTAGTATCGTTGAATTTGAAATCGATGAAATAATAAAACTTATTGAACACATGGTTATCTCGTTGATTTTGAACTATTGTTGTACTAGAGATGTTTACATGCTATTTATGGATGAATTATGCTATTCTCTATAATTACTTTGATATTGTGGGCTTAGTTTAGTTAAGCAGATGAAATATCATTGGTTTTATGTAAATTATATCCGAGCTTTGCTTAATTCTGTCGTGTTTGATGTAGTTCATCCGGTTTATTCAAATGCGGTTTGAAATGATTGTGAGCGGTTGAATGGCCGACTTTTACATCACTACTCACGGATTGCTCCCAACCAATTCGCGGATGGATATAATGTTTGATATGGACGTCGGCGTTGAAGATGGTATATCAATTAAAAATACACCAGAGTGATGGTGCAAAGGCATGTTTGAATCACGCCACCGCAGATCTGCAAGTGGTCAGTGCATTAAATTCTGTCATTTAGCTGACGGGCATTTCTTTAGGCTGACCATAATGGGGTAATATAAACAGTATCATGCACTTGGGACTCGTAAATATGTTTATGTGGTAGACAATTCAAGAAGAAAGAGGGTTATAATAACATAGACAAATACTATATCATAATAAATATTATACTATTATCTGTCATGTATAGCAGTAAATGAGACAATTTATAATACTACGCACTATGAATGTTGTAATAATACACTAATATTATATAGCATATGATACTCCCACTAGGACCAGCCTTGGCATCGGCGCTTTCCGGACGAGCCGGTCAAGGAATCAAAAAAAAAAGGAACCATTCGCATTTTCTGAGTCGGAAGATATAATCGTGGTCGAGTTCCATGGTACTTTCTCTGTTTTATATAATTGTAGTACTAAACCATCGACAACCAATATGAAACGGAGAAAGTACACTCTATTCTGACCGTCCGTTCGCATCGTGATATGTGCGCAAGGAATCATCACATGCCCACCTTCTGTCCGCCCCAGAGTCATTAGCAGGAGTTGACATTACATTTCAGTTAACAATCTGCTATATAATAGCCTGATCGATGGCTTGATTAGCGAGACCCGTAGTGGAGAACTAGGTAGCTACACCGATGGAGGCGGAGGCAGAGTGTGGTAGCGCCGGCGGGTGGTCGAAGGTGGGAACATCGCTTCCCGTCACGAGCGTGCAGGCTCTGGTGGCGTCCGCCGTTGAGCTGACGGCCGACAAGATCGGACGGTATATCCAGCCAGACATTGACGCGCACGCCGTCCTCCCCGAGCTGTCCGACGAGGTTCCGGTGATCGACATCAGCAAGCTCTTGAGCGCCGAGTCCGCTGAAGCAGAAACCGCCAAGCTCAGATTTGCCTGCGCGGAGTGGGGCTTCTTTCAGGTACTTGAGGCCAATATTAACGAACCAGTACAATTTATATTTCTTCATTCATAAAGTTATTGCATCTCCGTGGCGCAACCTGGAGAAATTTGGGGTCTGGTTCTTTACCTTCGACCGTTGAGATAGTTTTGTTGTTGTTGTTGATTAGGATAGTTGAGATAGTTGAAGCACGACGGACATTACGAGTGAACAAATAAATTTGTTCAGCCGGATTGTGTCTTTTTACCAGCTAGGACAATGTCCGTGCGTTGCAACGGGATATAAATATTGTAGTGTGTTAACTCGTGATTTATCTGCCCATATTACTGTGATTGTCTAAATAAATGTTTATCAAATATGTCCATGATTTACCCTATAGTTTGATGATAAATTTGATAAGTAAATTAAGGTGCAATTGATGCAAAAGTAAGTAAATCAATGTGATTGAACGGCGTACTGGGAAGGTCAAATATGACATGGTGAAAAAAAAACCAGCTGACGATGGAGACATGGTGGAGGGGGGAACCGGTAGACGAAAAGTTCTGCCTAGCAGGAAAAGGAATGCTACTTATTTTTTCAGTAGTATATAGAGATTTATTCTAAACTTGATCTCTAACCTTGCCCTCCTCAGAAAATATTGTCGGACTTAAGAAATTGTAATGTCTATAATGTTGTAGCCATTGAGATTGATTCAAGACTCATTTATAATATCTATTACTTCAAAAGGTCTTACAAATTCTTAAATCCGACAAATTTTGAAAATTTTGAGGATGATTGATCATGTATAAACCTGATCATTGGTTATTTATGGTTTCACTTTCTATATTTATTATTCTCAACTTAATATTCCAAATATTTTCAGCAACTTTTTTAGAATATTCCTTTTAAAAAATGTCAGTTCATATAGTTTTTTTTTTTGAATTCTTAGATTTATTCACATCTTCCAATTTTATTACTTTCTTCCCTAGAATGCTTTTCCTGGTATTTTTTTTCAAAATTTATCATACTTTTGTGCAACTCGGTCATCACATGGGGGAAATAATCGCAACTACATTTGTCATATTGCTCCGATTGTTGTTAGGGACCAGATTAGTCACTTTCAAAAGTATAAGGTCAAAGATATCTAGTATTAGAGTTCAAAGACAAAATCCGGAATTAGTCTAGAGAGGAAAACAATACTTTTCTCTAAATATTAATTTGTAGATTCATTCATTCCATCTCTTGAAAATTTGTTTGATAAAGCATTATTGTTTGTCCAACTATTGAGCTTTCAGGTTGTAAATCATGGAATACCGATTGAAGTCATAATGGGTATAAAGCAGGACATTCAAAATTTCTTTCAACTCCCCCTCGAAGTTAAGAATAAATATGCTCAACGCCTAGGGGATCTTCAAGGGTATGGCCAAGTGTTTGTTGTCTCTGATGACAAAAGCTAGAATGGGGTGACAGGTTTGCCCTCTTCATTCAACCACCCCAAGCTCGTGATATGAGTTACTGGCCAAGTCAACCTCATACTTTCAGGTTAGACTTTGTATGCTTGGGATATCTAAATGTATAAGAAAGGAGAAGGGAAACTCCTGCATTATATTCTAAGCACTAGATTAAGAAAATATATTAATTTGGCAAAGACGCTCAAGTTGATTCAAGATTCAATACTTAAAACTTAGAAGATTGACTTGGTTTTTTTTGCGATTGAAGAAGATTGACTCGGTTGCATGTGATCTTTTGGTAAACGGATTGACCATGTCAAGTTTTGAACTAAGAACTTGCTTTCACCGCTATAGTGTGCCATATTTGTGGGTGTGGTCCTTGAAGCATCATTTTGACATTATTCATCTTCTTGTGCATATGAAACATCTGGTGTTTGTTTATTACATTATTACATGTACAAAGTGCATTACCGTTTTAATATACACTCATAGGCCAAAGAGAAGAGTACCAAACATTTATGTTGGCCTTATCATTTCATTCGTTTCCAATGTTACACATCTCTCAAATTAAACTACTATGATTTAGCTTTTACGTTTAAGCATAGGTATAGATATGACACCAGCCTCACCAAACTAAATTAACCTCACAACAACCTAGAAAAGATTGTTGCCTTTATTGTTAATGTTCTGCCTATCCCTACACAATTTGGTTGAATATTGTTCGTTATGAAACTTAGAAGTAGCAAAGTTTACTAAAATCGGCCATAGGAACTAATGAATATTAAGTTTTCTATGAAAACAAATTGATATCAAGTCTTCTGGGTAAAATTTCAGCATGAGTATCTAGCAACGGAGTTTTTATGGTTCATGGTAATGACCAACAAAGGGCCGAGTAGGGGACTATACAAGCAATGAATTTTTTATTGGGCTTGTTATTTGTACTTGGTACAAAAACAAGCTAGGTCTGGTCATGTAAAATCCAACGTATTTCAATATCTACCAAAGCCCATCATTAACGGAGAAACTTTATTATTTTTATGATCCCATGAATTGTATTGAACAATACTCTTCAGAGGTGATGAAATTCACGCATTCTCTTGCCATCTTGATTGCAAAAACACTAGATGTTGATCCGGAATTGGTGGCAGACAAACATGCGTCTCAATTTCTCAGGATGAACTACTACCCTCCATGCACGTCAACCCCAGAAAAGGTTCTAGGCTTGTCACCGCATTCCGATGGATCTTTTCTCACTATTCTGCTAGAAGTTAATTCAGTTCAAGGCTTACAAATTAGAAGGCATGGTGCATGGATTCCCGTGAAACCACATTGTGATGCACTATTGGTGAATGTGGGCGACCTTCTTGAGGTATGCTTCTAAAGACATATTAAGCTAGTTGTATAGCATGTGAAACTAAATGGTATAAAAATTAGTAAAAACTTTGCAATCCTTATTTGTGTTTGGGTGGGAGAGATCCGCAACTTCATAACTCACTATCTCCTTTATGAAACTCTAACACACACATGTGCTTACACGCTCATACACCCATCCATCCGTCACCAAATGAAAGTGTGTATGTCCGACATGTCATCTTGTGTTAAATAGCTCTGCTACTTGGGTTTGTAAAAGCACTTCTCAATTGATGTATCACATATTAAAACGTTAAATTTACCAGGTCATATACTGGTCTAGAAAAAATAAGCAGGATTTTTGCTTAGGGTTGTTTCTAAATGTTTTGGGAGTTTGAGGGCTGAAAAGGTACATTGTCCACCTAAGCAAACACGCGAGTCAACGAGCCACCTTTGTAGCCCTCACACTACATCTAGAAAACTTAGTTGAGAAAGCTCATTCTTAGTCAAAGGAAAGACTCATTGTTTTCTCTTTGTACAAGGTACTAGGTTACTTTTGTTCCTATTCTATGGTTCTCAATAGGATTATCTTGTAATAAATGAAAATTAGCTTGTTAATATTCAATTTACAATAGGATTATGTTGCAATAAATGAAAATTAGCTTGTTAATTTTCAATATTTTTCCTGCTATCCTCTAGTTTTTCTGTAAATTGTTTATCAAATAAGACAAAAAAATTAAGGCCTTACAAGCGATGTCATCTTTTTCGGGGGTTGGACGGTACACTCTAGACAAAGCAATAGTTGATGGTGTATATATTACTTTTCCCTAGAAAATGTCATGTGTAGTCTCAAACTACTTCCAATTTTATATGACTCGGAACCGGTAATTGCCTTTGGCTCCTAGGTTCATATGCACCCATTGTCGAAATACACATTTTGAGAAGTTAAAAAATTCGGAACAAAAATCCCGCGTGTATATCCGGATATTTTATGTGCGTGCACAAGGTTTACATGAAAAACGACGTTTTGTATGACTTGTGTAAAAAAGACAATTTCTGATGCTTCATTCTAACTATTCACGAGGCATTTCTTTATCTTTTTTACACAAGCCACAAAAAACGTCGTTTTTCACCAAAACCTTGTGAACGCACATAAAATGTCCGTATATACACGTGGGATTTTTGTTCTGAATTTTTCAACTTTTCGAAATGTGTATTTCGACAATGGGTGCATATGCACCTAGGAGCCAAAACACCACTCTCGGAACACTGGGAAACTACTATTTTCAAGGATAGACGAGAAACTTGATATCTGTTGAATCCAATCTATTTATTATTTATAGATTATGACAAATGGGAAGTACAAGAGCATTGAGCACAGGGTCACCATAAATGCCCACAAGGAGCGACTATCCATATCAGCATTTCAAATCCCAAATTATGATGGAATTATTTCACCAATTTTAGAAAATGCAGAAGAGAAGATATTATACAAGACAATGAAAGTAGGAGAGTATTTAAGACTTTATTTCTCAAACAAACTAGAAGGAAAGAGAGCCCTGGATTATGCGAAGTTATCCGAAATTTAAGGATTTTCTACTGAACTTTGTCGTTCTAGATAAACACTCTTAAATTAATATGTGATAAATGCTTCAGTGTAATGGATATATATTTCTCACCAGGACCAATCGGCGAGACGTTTGTCACTTTATATGAACCTTTGCATTTATTTTCAGATATACATGTGATGAAAAAGAAATTCTTCATCGGGTACACTTGTAATACTCGAAAGACGAATATAGACTTATTCCAAATATCTTTTGCAAACCGTCCCATCAAGAAAGGTGGTGCCCCAGCCCAGATCTGGGCCCTTTTGGGCCCCATCTGGGTTTGGGTGGGCCGGTGACTCGGTGTTCCGCGGCGTCGTTTCCTGGTGATGGCATGGTGGCGGCGGCTCGGGTGGTGAGGATTTCGTCGGTCGGCGAGTTGCAGCGTGGCGACAGGATTGTCCGGGTCCAAGTGGACCCGGCCGGGCAGTCGAGGCCCTGCAAGTCCTCGTCGCCGCGTCCGGTCGGCTCTGCTGCAGCGGTGAAGGTTGTCCCCTCCCCCCGTCCGAGTGGTGCTCGCTCCCGTGGCCGGGGTCTCCTTGCCCGAGCTAGGCCTCGTGCTGGCAGCTCCAGTGAGGCGGCGGGGGTGTCCGGTAACCGTGGTGGCACAGGCTGGTGGGCGGCTGTTGTGGTGGTGCATCTCGAAGTGCCTCGGGTGATGGTGGTGGTTGTGGATCGGGAGAAATCCTTGTCGGCTTGTCCGGCACCGACGCGGTGACGCTTGCAGGCGCCATTGGACCCTCCTGAGGGGCGTCGGATATATCCCTTCCCCACCATCCTCACGTACCGGGGGAAACCCTAGAACTTGTCCGGGCAACAGCGGCGGCGACGTCGCATTCCTTCTTGAAGGTGTTGCTTGGTGCGAGGTGCTTCGAGATGCTGGGAGCGCGGTGGCACTTCGTCGGAGGGTGCAACGATTGCCGGTCTTCCTTTCGTCATTGATCTGCCAGTGTCGGCATTCATTTCTCTTTCATTTTCTTTTGTTTCTTTTGGGCTTATCTGTGCTGCGGCCCCAGCATGCTGGATGTATCGGAGGTTTGCTTTATAATATAAAGCGGGGGAAAACCTTTTTTTTATTTAGAAAGGTGGTGCCAAGGGGAAGATGAGAATTATAGATTGAGAATACAACTGCCCCACTAGCCACCAACCAATTATCGGTGCTTGTTTTGTTTGACTGGGATTACACCCATCTCGTTATGTTGATGTTGTGACCTTGTAGACTTGACCTGTATGGTACATTTTTGTTGCGTGTAGTATCAAACACCATAAACAACTGACTTGCAGATGGCCTCAGCTTAATTTTGTTTTTGTTTAATGTAATGCCCTGTTTTAGCTAATACTTAGAGATGCATGCTGTATATTGGGTCTCGGATGGAGTATTAGTTATAAATGTAGTTGGATAACGGTTTATATACCCAAGAGTCTAAGAGCATCTTCAACAAGCGCGCGGTTGCGCGGCGTACTAAATTTATCTTTTAGCGTCAAAATAGTGTTTTAGCGTGTGTAGGAGTGTGTTTGCTTTACCAGGCGCTGCAAAATTTAACGCGCCGGAGCCCAAGGCATGTATCGCCGGAGCGGATCTCCGCGACACGCCGGAGGGGCGGAGGCGAAAGCCACGGAAGCCCGAGCTGCTACGGGGGCGCGGCAGCATGGCGGGGG